TACACTCTCTGCAATGTCAAATCCTCGATCTGCAAGCACAACGTCACCTGGCAACAATCTATCTAGCAGTCCACAATGTTCGGTGATATATTTATCACTACATCTGCCACCCCATGCTTTGGATAAAAATGACACTGAGCCCTGCGGGGTAATACCTATCAAAAACTTCACAGTATTGTGATGTTTGTATGAGGACCACGTCTCGGCTCTTGCCAGTAGATTTGAAGGACGCTCAATAAAAATTTCAAAGCAATCGATCACAATGGCTACTTTTACTCCAAAGTGTTTACGGAATTCCATTGGCATTGTAAGCTGTAACTCTTCTCGGTCTGGCCACAAAATAAATTGGTTCAATCTCACATACATGACATGAATCACGTCGAAAACCGACATCAAAGTTAAAAAGCCAGGCAGTCCAGTGTAATATTTCACTTTCTCCTCGTTATTTTCAAAAGACTCTGGGGTAATCTGTCCCTCCAACAAAGACTGTCTTAGTTTTATGTTCTCTGATGTCAAATATTGAAGTTCATCTCTCATTTTCTTCATCAAATCCTGGTCACAGTCAGACTCTCCATTACACCCCAAACTATCTTGTGCACTAGAATCATCTTGGGAAGCATAACTGGCTTCTGAAACAAGGCTTTCAGTTGCTTGTGCAGTATCGTCACTTTGATTAACACGGGGCATGGATTTGGACAGGTCAACTAGAGCTGTAGCTGCCACGTGCGTCTTCTTTTTCTCATTGCGCACTTGTACTCTGGCAAACCTGGAAACACAATGCCACACAGTGAATATTACATGTATATATAGCTTGACCTCAAACAGCAAATCAAACTACAATAAAAGTATAACAACATACAAACTTTATCAAATTGGATTGCGGTCAAGAATTTCAGGCTTCAATGATCCTCAGATATTGGGAACAGACGAGACATGTAAACTACATGTATCAGAAAGAATGAAAATAATTTAATAAAAGAAATGAATTGTGTTTACACTGAATATATCAAATTTGGTCAATAGACATAGAATTCACATCAATATGAAGAAACTATGAATAAATGTGTATTGTAAATTTATACACATAATGATTATGTATATTAAAAAGGACCACTTAATGATCAATAAAAAAAAAAAATATTAATGATCAATCAACCATAGAGTGCATATATATAGGCAGCTATATATCAGGGTTCTCCCTACTTGCCGCAACACGGGGCGCCGCGCGCCCCCGTGGGGGCAAACTCCCCCTGTTTGAATCGTCGCTCCCGTTTTGATTACTCCGCCCCAGTTTGAATCCACCACAAAAAAGTCTGGCCACGCGCAATCGACCGTCAGAATTGCCGTCGACTCAGGGCACCACGACCTCGTGTATTTTTACCGTAACACTCGCATGCACTGCAGCAGTACATCAAGTAACCTACAAGCAAGAGTAACCTGTAACTAATCGTACACCATCTGCCTCTTACACCGACCTGCGCAGGTATTAATATACAAAAGAGCTCAAATACCGCTATGGGGTCTGGCGATTTTACTAATTAATTAAGTCACGAGTAAAAATACACGCCCCCGACCCCCCTAGTTCCCCCCCCCTCCCCCAGTTTCCCTCCCTCTCAACCCTCCTGCCCCCTTTTGAGTCTATCCTCGGGGAGTAACCCGTATATAACGATATACAATAATATATAATATATATAGGCAGCTATAGCCTCGGCTAACAATACAGGAGGCATAAATTACGAAAATTTTGTGTAGTCTACAAGATACTAATCTAATATACACATATGTACAGTAGACTACTCATATATCATTATGCAGTTAAATACGGCAGTCAATCTTTACTTTCCATGAAAAGTATGCAAGCATTTTTAAAGAAAATTTAATGCCTTAGTTCATTATACCTTCTAGTAGTGCCTCCTTGCTTGAAATAATCGTAAGTAGTCACTTCAAAAGAAAATTATTATATATAATATATTATATACTATATAGATACAACCTTTCAACCGAGCTGCTCCAGGCCTCCTTATTTGTTAAGTTTTCTCTTCTCAAGTTACAGAGAGGTACCCATCAGGGTGAGCTTCTCGAACAACTTGGGCTCGCCTGTATAAATATCAAAACAGTTTTCTTCACTCTGCACAGGGTCCCAAGAGAGGACCGAGGAGGAATTATGTCTAACGAGCATGACACTGTTATACTACTATTCAGACATTGATTATATAAACACTTGTAGTGCGGATGAGAGCAGATGAGACGAGAGAGAGAGAGAGAGAGAGAGAGGAGCTTCGAAAGTAGTTGGCGAAAATAGGTATCTGATGATAATAGGCCGCATGCCGGCTACATATTGTCATAAAACGCCACTGTAGTGTAGATACAATAATGTAATACAAACACAGGATAGGGTACGTGTTTGGGTTACATTATTGTCCCCCTATCCTGTGTTTGGGTTACATATATATAATATTGTATCTAACTGTAGTGCATGGTGACTGGTGTACTAAAAGAAACCAGAATTTACCGTTTTAAAATTCGTTCTTAGATACTAGTCACTCACCACTAATGAAGTGATCAGAACAGACAAGAGAGTTTTTCGTAGGCATCCAAGGTGTACCATCTTGGTTCTTCCTGGATATAATGGCCAGCCATAGACGCCGTCGCTCCCCGGACAAATTCTCTGCTATTTCTCCCTGGTGCGTGATGATCGCCGGTATGCTATACCACCCACGCTTGGACCCCGTGTCTGATCGATTATTGCAGTGAACTAGAGAACACGTTCTCACCATGACTGAAAAACCGCCTTGAAAATCCGAGTATGCAAAGTGCGTCTAACGTGTGTTGATGCCCGCTGTGTTGTTACGCTTGCCAAGAAACATGGCCGCCGTACCACGTGACCATTTAGTTGTGATGTCATGGTAAAGCTAATAGTGGTGCTGAGAGGGTCTATGTCCCCCAGGGTACTGCCGGAACGTACCCTGAGCTGGTACTATCTAATATGCCGGACCGTGCCTCGTCTACTCCACTAACGAGTCTAGGGAGTCGCCTACGCATACTCCCTAACCCTAACCCTAACACTAAGTTCCTAACCATATCAGATCATAGTACCCAGTGTACGTTCCGGCAGTACCCTGGGGGACATAGACCCTATGAGCATTAGTGGTAGCAGCGTAGGATGTCATAGAACCACGATTACTGTTGCATGTTCTGAACTATCATTCAGTTGCATGTACAGCATTAACCCGACCAGGCTGTGTGACTAACGTCAATAGGTATTCTAACCCTAGCAATACCGTTTCTTGGAGCTAGTACAGCATGGCTAAGCAAGATTTATCGGGTGATATTCCTGGTGCTACTATATAAGGCTGAACAATATATAGGGGAGATATTTATATACGAAAGGATTACAATATAACAAGAACGACACCTCTGTTATAAAGGCTGACAGACAAACTCAAACTAATACCATTCATAACCTCTCCATTTCTATAACTAATAATTACATCTTTTATCGCCGTATTTAATGCTTCTATATGCGCATGATGTAAGCCCTTCACCCCTATATATAATTCTTCATCCCAACACGGCAGCCATCGTGTTACGATTAGTTGTGTTGCTTTGCCGGTACGTATAGCTATCTGAGTATTTCGTATCTTGCCACTGTTTCACTGAAATTGTTGACTATCAAACGCTTGCGAGATAAAACTACACTTGTAAGCAATTGATAAGAATAATAAATCGTCTTACAAGGCTATTATCTCCTGCTATTATTACATTGAAAATCAGTTATATTAACTTGACGGTGACCTAGTATATTATTATTACTATTAGCGGTGCAAAATTGCTGTATGTATCAGTGTAAGTCGAGACAGGATTACCTTGAACTTATGTCAGCGCTATTACCAGTCCTTAATACTCCTTATTAAGGCTGAGAGGGTCTATGTCCCCCAGGGTACTGCCGGCACGTACCCTGGGTACGTACCCTGATACTATCTAATATGCCGGACCGTACCTCGCCTACTCCACTAACAAGTCTAGGGAGTCGCCTACGCCTACTCCCTAACCCTAACGCTAACCCTAACGAAACCCTAACCCTAACCATATCTAATAGTTACCAGGGTACGATCCGGTATACCGGACCGTACCCAGCTAGGGTACGTTCCGGTATATCGGACCGTACCCAGGGTACGTTCCGGCAGTACCCTGGGGGACATAGACCCTCTCAGCATTATTAAGTCGTCCGCGTGTTACGTAACACAATGAAGCTTATGGTATTTCCGTGCATGCACGGCTAAATACGTGCAGACATAAGCGGATTATTATATACAATTCTATTATTTTCTCATGTCATACATGTAGGTATGATTAATACAATATACATACATGTATGTATGTATGTACATGAGCAGTATGTATGATTAAAATACATGTATACATAGTGTACCAAATGTTGAAAAGGTGCATACAGCCACTCGTGGCCAATCACTGCTATACTCGACTCAAGTGCAGGCACCTCCGACACTCCAACATGGCGGAACCGCGAGCGTTGCTCATCCTAGCAGAGGGAGCCGAGGAGATGGAGGCTGTCATTACAGCAGACGTGCTGCGAAGGGGAGGCGTCAACGTCACCATTGCAGGTACCAGATGATCAACCCAACCAGGGCCGTACGCAGCAGGGGGGCAGCAGGGGCAGTTGACCCCCTAGAGATTTTCAGAGTATGCCTTTTAATGGGACAAATACTGTACAATTTTAGAAATAAAATAGAAATGTGACAAAAGGTTATCTTAAATCATCAAAGAAATATTACACTTTAAATAAAGAAATGTGAAATTGCGAAACGTTAGGGCACAGGGGGCATGGGGAGTACCTTTGCCCCCCTACAGAAAATTTCCTGCATACGGCCTTGAACCCAACATGTTATAACCCCTACTGCTTATAGCACACTCTGTACTAGCTCCAAGAACCACCGACCAGCAGTGTTTTCCTATCACAGGGGCTGGCGCTGGTTTCGTTCTCGATCATAATTCTCTGTACACACTTCATAAACCCAGCAGGTTTCTTATTAGAGAGAGGACCAGTTTCCTTCTTGATTATAGCACCATCTATATTGTACGAATTTCATTAAAACCTGACGTATTTCCATATCACAATACTGGCCAGTTTCGTTCCTAATCATAGAACCCCCTGAACAAACTCAAAAAACTCTAACCCGAATTCTTCTGTCACAGGACGAGCCAGTTTTTGTTCTCCACCATAGCGCCCTCTATACAAACTGCGTTAACCCCCCCGCGTCTTCCCCCGTAGGCCTGGCCGGAGCTGACCCGGTCACCTGCAGCCGCAACGTCGTCATCAAACCGGACGCAAGCCTCGACGACGCGACGAAAACCGGCAAGTACGACGTCGTCGTCCTCCCCGGCGGGCTAGGAGGCGCCCAGAGACTCGCGGCGTCGTCCCGCGTGGGGGCGCTGCTGAAGGTGCAGGAGGCGGGCGGCGGCCTGATCGCGGCGATCTGCGCGGGACCGACGGCTCTCCCTGCGCACGGCGTCGCGGCGGGCAGGAAGCTGACGAGTCATCCGTCCGTGCGGGAGCAGCTCGCCGCCGCGGGGTACGCGTACAGCGAGGATCGCGTCGTTAGGGACGGGCAGCTGCTAACGAGCCGAGGGCCGGGGACGACGTTTGAGTTTGCGCTCGCGTTGGTGGAGGCGCTGCAGGGAGCGGAGCGCAGGGACTCGCTCGTCCCACCAATGTTGCTGAAGCTGTGAGCTATACAGGCATGGAAGCCCACGGCGATTGCTGAAGATGCTAGATAGACAGATATTAATATCTCCAAATGTAGCTGAAGCTGTGAGCTATACAGGGATGGAAGCCCACGACGATTGTTGAAGATGCTAGACAGACAAACATTAATATCTCCAAATGTAGCTGAAGCTGTGAGCTATACAGTGATGGCAGCCCATGACGATTGCTGAAGATGCTAGATAGACAGATATTAATATCTCCAAATGTAGCTGAAGCTGTGAGCTATACAGTGATGGAAGCCCACGACGATAGCTGAAGATGCTAGATAGACAGATATTAATATCTCCAAATGTAGCTGAAGCTGTGAGCTATACAGAGATGGAAGCACATGACGATTGTTGATGATGCTAGTTAGACAGATATTAATATCTCCAAATGTAGCTGAAGCTGTGAGCTATACAGCGATGGAAGCCCATGACGATTGCTGAAGATGCTAGATAGACAGATATCAATATCTCCAAATGTAGCTGAACCTCTGAGCTATACAGTGATGGAAGCCACCTGATTTTGCTAATGCTGTGACAGTGTGCGCCAAACAGCAATCACTGGTGTGAATTTTTCCTTTATTATTTGTTCAAATTTAAAGTTGTTAATGAATTGAGGAATGGGAGTGGGTAAAATTAACTGTTTTTTAAAAGCTGATTCAGCATCCATGTTCATATTACATAATTCATGAACAATTAAATTAGATTTAATTCTTCATGTGTAACTGATAAGGTTGTATCTGAGGATTTGTACAGGTTTAATAATGCTTGCATTATCAGGTTTACATAATTTGCCTTTTTCTAAATCAAAACTCAAATTTAAATAAAATTATAATTTTGCTACTGATGAATTAAAAAATTCCAAGTAAGCAACAGAGACAATTAATTTTGTTAATTTAATTTCTATCAGTATGCGATCGATTTCATCCACAATGAATAATTAAATTACTTGTAGTACTTCACTAAAACTTGCATATAAATCTTACACTTATTTATAGAATAAAAATGCTTGTGGTGACTTGAATATCAACATCTTCATTTTTATATGTCAACTAGTGTTCTTATGGTTGAATAATATAATGACTTACATCATATTTAACATCACATTCTAAGATTAATGGCAAGTCCTAGACAATGCAGATTATTTATCAGCCTAAACTGAAAACTATGAAAACCAGACAACTAAGGTGACCGCTTATCCACTTGGAGGGACTTGGCTGAGAGAACCATTATTAGCCAATCGGTGCTGCGACACAATGTTCTAAAAACAATGCTTAGTTATGAAGTGCCACAAAGTTGACAATATGGCATGTACAATGTAAAATGGCATGTACAATGTAATATGGCATGTACAATGTAAAATCACATACAAACTGGATGAGTCCGTCAAACCTAGCAACCACTAGTAGTTACCTAGCTCAGACTGATACGTCAATAATACACTAATGGCGCAAATCCATCATAAATACTGCGCAAATCCAGGGGGGGGACAGGGGGACATGTCCCCCCCACGAATTTTCAGAGGGGGGACATCATATCAAATGTCCCCCCCACGATTTTGGATCACCATGATTTTGTGTGTGTGTGTGTGCGCGCGCGTGTGTGTGTGTGTGTGTGTGTGTGTGTGTGTGTGCGTGTGTGTGTTG